CCCCTGCCATGTGTTCTATGACATCTCAAGACCCTAGTCTTGACCTAATCTTGATTTCTCACTCATTTATGTATGGTGCCTCAACAGTGAATACAACAATTGTTCCTGACCCCATAAAGCCTGTTACATCATTCTTCAACTTTTTGTCGAGCCTTGACAAAAACTAAAGTCCAATTGCTAGTCTACAGCGATTTAAACTCTATGTTTATAGGTTAACTGGGATTCCAACCTTTTATATTTTGGTGTGGCTGTCAACATCCCAATCACTGGATGAAGAGTCCTACCCCCAGAATGTTAGATATTTGATAGACCATATATGTATAGTGGAATTTTTGTGAACAGTGATATGGTTTGCATAAGTTGACAAGAGGAGATGCGAAAGCTACTATTGCTTGCATAAACAATATGATATTTTCGAATTTTCATGGATATCCAATGTGAAATTGCCGAAGAAATGCAAATTACCATTGTAGCTCAATCTTACTTAAAACAATTCCTCCCACGATCATTATATTCTTCCTAAGATCATTATTGATATGGTGCCTTTCTTTCAAATCTACCCATTTGAGATGACTGTTATTAGCCCTTTTTGTTGTGCAGGTAGAAATGATGACCTATAATGGAACGATGCTTCTTGCCAAAGATTGATTTATTCGACCAAGCCTGTGTCATGCTTGTTGCTAGAGACTTATCAATATTTTAGACTCTAGCAAAGAATGATTTATTCGACCAAGCCTGTGCCATGCAAGTTGCTAGAGACTCTCAATAATTTAGACTCTAGCAAAATTCGACTATTATTTGACATTGGACATGAAAATGATGGCCAACAAAGTCTCAATGAGTTTGAGCCCCTAATTCTAGAACCTTGTTTGGTTTTTCTTCCATTGAAGTAGAAATAATTCACTAAAATATATATGATTGTGGTTCCTTCCATCATCCCCTTTTGGTGAATATTATATATGATGATTTGTTTATTAAGCTATATATGTCTTCATTCTTTGTAGACACCCCTCCTTCACATAAACCTTAATTCTGAGTCTTAAGGATCACATGAAGCCAAGTGAACTATAGTGAACTTCGACTTTTGTCCTAAAATCACCTAAAAGCCAATCAAGTGATAATAGACCCCATGAACTTTTGAATGGTCCAATAATCGATAGTAGACCCCAAGAACTTTCGAATGGTCCAATAATCACTTGAATATGACCTACCGTTTGAAAGAGGAAAAATTGTCGGGAAATGACACATGGGTCACCCAGTGTGAATGTCTAGCAGACCTCTTGATAAGTGTGCTCGATGTGTTTTTGGATCAGATAAGGTCATTTTTTTTGATGATTTTACCCTTGTTAGAGTTGGGAGAGGATTCTAAGTTTATTTCTAGAAATTTCAATTATGTTCTTAGGCTTATCTTACATAAACCCTTCTCAAAAACCCATAAAAAATCATCCAAAAAATATAGAAAAAACAAAAAATTTGTCTAAAAATTCTTAGTAAATCCTAAATCCCTTGGAAAATTAAGAAAAACACCTAGAAAATTAAAAAAAGCCTCTAGAAAATCCTAAAAAGTTACCATATTTTTTTTCATCCTTTTTGCTTTGTTTTTCTGTAGTTGTACTAGGTCCAGCCAAGCCTGACCCCCAAGGGAACAAGAGCTGGGTTAGGCTGGCTCATTTGCTAGTTAAGAGGTTGGGTTGTTGTGGGATTTTCGAAAGGGTGCGGTTTTTATAGAGCCTTGGCTCTAAACAATCAAATTAGAACCTACCTTTAAATAGTGTCAAGAAATATGGTTTCAATACTGAAAATCTTTGTGATAGCTTTAAAATATATTTTCATATTTATTTATAAACTTTAAAGCTTCAAAAATAGTGTAGATCGATAAGTCTATTAAAACTAGAAGATCTTGAAAATTAATGGTAAAAAAATGTGTTACAAAATACACTATTTCCAAAACTTGAAATCCATTTTTTTCTCATGTTCATGCATCTTGATGTCGAGATGATCAATTTGAAGATTTTTGGGCATTAAAACATCATCTTCTAGTGAAATTTTTGAAGTAGGCTCAAATTTGATTGTTTAGAGCTTCGGCTCTATATAAACTTTTCCCTTTTCTAAATTCAGATAGCTCGTTTTGAATTCGCATCCACCGCTGCATATGGTGCCAAATTTGGAGAAACCATAGAAAATACAGGCTTTAAATAGTATTGAAAATTGCTGATTTAACTCAAAATTCCCGAACTGGAATCAGATTCGGGAGGTAAGCTGTTTTGGTATGAGAAACCCAAAAGTGCCCTAAATTTTCCTAATTTTCAAGTTTCCTTGTTATTTGTTATCCATATGTTCATCGGAATCGTTATTCAGGGCCGGGTTTTGATTTTCCGAATTTAAGAGAGCAATGTAGACATTTATATCACCTAAATTTAGAGAACCGGTTAGAATGATCAATATTTTATGAAAGAGAGCAGCCCAATTTGAAGAAACCATAGAAAATACAGCATTCAATAAAGCTTAGTGAACATTTATATGAATCCAAAATTGAAGTAGCCATGAAAAAGATCTTGGTAAAATTACAAAGAACCCCAATACCATACTTTCTATCCAACTTACCTTTAATCTAATTTTTTCTCTCATTTTTTTTCCCAAAAAAAGCTTTCTTTGCAAATACCTCAAAAGGAAAAAGTTCATTTTTTTAAAACAAAAATGATCTTCCTGTATACAAAAATTAGTGTGATAGAGGCGAGAGGCAAGACATGGGTAAGGTAAAAGTATAGGAGGGTAGTTTAAGTATTTTTTTATTTTTATTTAGTTGGGGGTTTGCATAGAAAGTATATTTTGAAAAAAAAAGTAAGAAAAAAAAATGAGAATAGAGATAAATTGCATAGAAAGTGAAGTTTTGGAATTTTTTTTTATAACTTTTTCAAGATTTTAATACACTTTGGAAAGGCAGTGGTGGACAGATATTTATGCTTTGACGTGTAATAAGCTATGAAGGCGATAACCACTCACTAAACTTGTCGTGTACAACAAGTTGCAGGCGTGGTTGCATAAGGTCAAATGCACCACCAACCCTAGAAAGTAGACAAATGGGATACATTTCTCTGGGTTTTCCGAAAGCTCTCTATTCAGTTCAACATTTTCTATGAAAAATGACCTAAGTGATTGTAACCCCCCTTCGCCTTGTTTCTCTCTCTAAATATTAAATATGTTTCATGTCATATGGTACTTGTACGTTGCCACTTGCCTACCCCTCAGTCCCTTTTCTCTCTCCCTCTTAGAGGTGGCAATCGTGACGTGTTGAATCGAACTGGTCGCTGTTTGGGTGTATATTTTGGATCCCACTGTCGGGTTCGGATTGAAATGACTTTGACCCGATCTGGGTCTGATCCAGTTTAGAGTTTGGCTTGGATCTTGTTGGGTCTGGCCCGACCTGTTATATAATGCATATCATCATGAAATATACATCTTTATTATGTATTTTATAAGATTACCGTGTATCACCAATCACACATGATGAATTCGTATGGGATGAGAGTGGGATGAGAGTGATGAAAAGTTTATTGTGAAATCAGTTTATAGTTTGTTGTTGTATGATCAATTGAGATGGAACTGCAATTTTTTACATAAACTATGGAAGTGGGCAGTTCCTTTAAAAGTAAAAGTCTTTTGTTGGATTTTTTACCAAAGTTAACAGTGGATAATTTGATGAAAAAGGGAAGAGTTATGGTTAATATGTGCTTAATGTGTAGGGAAGAAGAAAAAACTGGGGATCATCTTTTTCTACATAGCTCTAATGTTTAAAATATATGGTGTTGGATTTTTCAGATGTTGGGTTTTACTATGGTTTTTCCTTATTCATATATGGATATACTAAATCAATGAGAATGCTCATCTCTTCCGAAAGCTGGAAAGATTTTATGGCAAATTGTGAAGGTGGGGAGATTTGAAAGGAAAGGAATTTAAGGGTTTTTGAAGGAACAATGGTGGAGATGAATACAATAAAAATAAGGATTGTTCATTGTGTTTGGAGTTGGATTACAAACACAAAAGAAGGTTTTGGATTATCTAAAGTAGATGTGGAAACTAATTTGCACAATTTGGTGAAACAAAAAGTATGGAAGGTTCGGCTTGGGAGCAAAGAATTGTATGGTGTACCCTGATGATAGGCAAATATTAAATTAAATGTTGATGGGAGTTTTTTTGAAAATCCAAAAAATAGAGCTTTGAGGGTATTTTTCGATATTCAAGGGGTGATATTATTCTTAGTTATGCAAGACCATGTAGCGTGGAAACTGCCAATTTTACAGTAATGAAAGCCATCTTACAAGGGCTATGGATTATTAAACAAAGATATCACCTCACACCTTGCATTGTGGAAGGAGATTCCTTGAATACAATCAATTGGTGCAATAGGATCTCTTGCTCATCGTGGAGGCTCATAGTAAATGGGTAGAAATATTTGATCGATGTGCATAGTTGCAAGTCACCTTTCATCATATCTACATAGAAGCGAATGAAATTGTATATGCTCTAGCAAAAACAGGGTTCAATTGAATGGGTTATTCATGGTTGATACTCTTATTTTATGATCTTTTTTGTTATAATTATGCAATCTTACTCTGTACTTATTAAAGAAATCTATGTAATTTTGTAAAAAAAATTTAAAAATTATTTTTTTAAAATTCACTCCCTGGGCCAAAGTAAAGTGAATCCGACTAGGAACCAACCTAACTAGTTGTCATGCCTCTCTCCCCTTCTTGTCTCTCAAAATATTTAATATGCTAATATGTTAACGGTATGTTGCCACTTGCTTACCCCCACCGTCCCTTCTCTCTCTCTTACATGGATGGAAAGTAGGTAGCCTCTCACACATCATTCTCAAAATGGCAGGCTTAGGAACTCCCTATCTTAATAAGTGCAAGTGGCTATCATTTTTTTATATTTTAATACATTTCTTCTTCCCTTTTTTTTCTCTTTTTTTTTTTTTGCCATTAAACTAGTTCATGGTCCATAAGAAACCAAAAAGTCGTTATACAATATTACAGTCAACTTGGTACATCTCTCTAGAATGGGGAGGAGTATCTCTCACTAGAAAATCTTTTGAATTGCACAAAAATTTGTATTTATAGGTGAAGTGATTGTTTATCCTCCTCCCCAACTCAAAGGAAAAGTTGGTAGCCAGAAAAGTTACTATAAGGGTTGTAAAATTGCAATTTATGAGAATTTCTGGCCATGTTGAGGGAAGTAGTGTGTTTCTTCTTTCTTTGTGGGATGTTTAAAAGGTTGAGAAGTGGTTTTGGTGGGGTGGTTGCTGTTGAATCATTTGGAGAGAGGATGTCAATTGACTTGAATTTCCATATGTAATCATGCTCCTGAAAGCAAAGAAAACAACAATATTATCCCTCTTTTTCTCTCTCCAAAAAATGGAATATATAACTTAAGGGTTAATGAACCTTCTAAAATTATTCAAATGAAATGATCTCAATTAACATTAAAGAGTCATATATTTTGATTTTTAGTACTTGGGCACCTCCTGAAAAGGCTTTTTTAAAATGCCCAAAGAGCACTTTTTAAGGGAAATATTGAATTAGGGGCATTCCAGTGATTTAACCCATCCTAAACAAGTAGAGGTACTCTTTTGATTTGGGTGGAGCCCATAGGCAGGTCAATTATTGAAATGCTCCTATTTATTCAAGATTCCCAAACTTGAACAAGGACGATTTCTGTATTTATTAATATAAAATGGGGTTATATATAATGAGACCATTTGCCTTTAATACAACGAGGTCACAATTACTTATAACCATCCGATGTGAAATCCGATAGCTTAAGTGTGTTATAAAGCTCGAAAAAATTTCTTTTGAACTTTGAGCTTGGTCAATGAAATAAATGCAGCCACCCAATTTCACATCCAATGGTCAAAATTAATTGTGACCATCTTGTACCAAAAGCAAATGGGCCTAATTATATACTTTCCTATGTAAATTGGATGAGTTAAATAGAATAAAAATTAGAAAACAAATCCTCTAGCATTAGTTAAAATATTTTAGCCGGAAAAGGTTTTAACCTTCGATGAAAATGCGCATAGAAATTTCTTTTTTTTGCTATGACTATGTATTCTCACTCCAACAAAACCCATCATTACATAATCAAATCATGCAATCTCCCTCTCCCTCAGACACCTGAATGGGCCCGGACAAAGAAATTCAACACGAGTTTTATCCTGAGGGGAAAGTATGCAGTCGCGCAATGGATTTGGAAAATGATAGATGATGGAGATCATGATCGAAATAATGGACATCCAGGCAGGGAGAGAGAGACAAAGATAGGGAGAGAAAGAGTGGGGTTTGCTGCTTGGTGTGTGGAAGAGAAAGTGGGTCCATTACTTAGGGTCTCAATTTCAACTTTTTTCACAAATTTGCGATCCTATCATTGAACCTTATGATGAAGTCTATGTCTCCATTCTCGCCAAAAGGTAAGGGCTCAAATCCTTTTAAAAAATGAAAATATGGCTTACACTCTAGTCACCACGTTGTGGTTTCTAATCTTGCCACTAACATCACCCCACCCCCACTAATACCTTTAAAAAGCTAACTTATATTATCTAAAAAAAACTTGCAACACAAATTTAGAAAAAAGACTTAGATAGGGGTAGCACTCCCATACTTCAATTGCATGTTGTGGCTTCTATTCCAATAACACTTTCAATCCTCATCAAATTCATCACCACAAACAAACTATGCTTAACCACACCTAGGTTTCATTGCATTGTGAACAAACTCTCTCTCTTTTTATATCTATCTATCTTATTTATTGAAGGGGAAGGG